GACGTTAATTCCACGGAGTACAATAAAGTTGATCTGTTACGCCTGTCACCTGGCCAGCCAGCCTACAACACCAAGAACTCAGGCTATAAAGGAAGAGGAAGGCCACGCAAAAGATGGATCGAAGGGGTCAAGGAAACCCTAAGAAAACATAACATCACGACTGAACTGAAAGAGCTGCGGAGCTGGCCTACCATAGAAAACTGCATCGCCCCATGACGCTTAACGGCAACAGAGGATGAAAAGTAAAAGTAAAAAGTAAGTACAATAAAGTTGATGAGTTGCCAGCCAGGGCGTGCGTACAATGAGGTCGCCAACGACCTGTCTCTGGCCGAAGCCCCCGGGGAGGAATACAATCACCGTTGGTGGGATCTGGTTTGGTTTTTATAGAGAGTGTTACGGCATGTACAACACGAATAGGTCATAAAAGTGCCTAAGATTAGAGGTGTTACAAGAGAGTAACAAAGACAAAAGGGAAAAAAAAAGAAAAAAGGAGGAGCGATAAGGAAAAATAGGTGTTTGATAGGACTGTCCCCGCGGTTTTATTGAGAAAACAAATTCTGAAATTATACAAACAGCCCAAAAATGTGAAATTATGCGACTCTGTTTATTTTAACAAAGAATGACGAAGGAAAATAATCAGAAATTATGCCCCCCAAAAAATCAAATTTTGCTAAATTATGCGGGGTGCATAAAACCTCGGGGACTGAGAGGAAAGAAGAGGCAAACCACACCAGAGCACGCTCCAACCATCCACCAATACAGTTGATGAGTTGCCAGCCAGGGCGTGAGTACAATGGGACCTGTCTCTGGCCAAAGCCCCCCAGGGAGGAATACAATGACTGTTGGTGTGATCTGGTTTGGTTTTAGTTTTAGTACATGTTTTACGGCGCTCCCAACTTCATAAGGTCATAGTATGAGCGCCAGAAGATTAGAGGTGTTACAAGAGAGCAACAAGCATAACAAAGAAGAAGAGGAGATAAGGACGATAGGGTCTTTCTACTGATTGTGCCAGTGCATATCTACATGTAGTTGAAAGTTCTTTAGCCTAACTACGGTAGCCTAACTACTAGACCACCGGTGCCACCAGTGTGATCTCTAGAGCGGGAATAATTTGATTGTTACAACTCCCAAGAGACGGAGAGTAATGAGGCTTTATTTAACAAAAGAAGTAAATAATTAATGCTTCTGGATTTCTATAGATGTTGTAAACCTACTACAAATAACAATTAATACAACAGTGGAAAGCTAGATAATAACAATGATAACAGTTCGTGCATTGATATCTCACAATGATCAACGTGTTTGTTGTGAAGATTTTTTTTTCAAGTAGGTGTTTATACGCTCCCATCGACCCAGTTTAGATCATTTTTAGGAGGAGGGATTCCAAAATTGCTTGTCAGGGCCAACCCGGGCTGAAAGAGATACTGCGACCGCAGTGCTTTCTTCTCCCATCTCCATTTTTAAAAACAGCGAAAACAGTTCATAACAAAGAGTGAGCATAAGAAGAAGTCACATTTTCAATGGTAAAAAAATAAAAAATAGATAGGACGAGAAGGCGCTGAGATACCAATACAGCATCCTAACAGAGACATCGAAGTACTCCTTAAAAAATGTCTCCCCACTCGCGAATGGAATTGGGCTATCCTGTGTTACCCAATGAAGCGTCTAAACGCTACACCACAGACGCCGGTAGAATATTTATTCCTTAACTCTATCCGTAAGTCGTGTTTTACTATCGTATCCATATGACGTAGGGAACTATGTGCCACCACTTTCAAAAGAGGAAATTTACTCGTTAATCCGATCCGTACGCTTTGCATAGCAGTCTG